CTCAGTTTTTAAGAGTCTCTTATGCTTTGGCTCTCTCCCACTCTAACTTCTTTTTTTTTTCCTATCCTCCCCCATGGGTTTCTGTTAAGTTTCTCAGGATCCACATAAGAGTGAAAACATATGGTATCTGTCTTTCTCTGTATGGCTTATTTCACTTAGCATCACACTCTCCAGTTCCATCCATGTTGCTACAAAGGGCCATATTTCATTCTTTCTCATTGCCACGTAGTACTCCATTGTGTATATAAACCACAATTCCTTTATCCATTCTTCAGTTGATGGACATTCAGGCTCTTTCCATCATTTGGCTATTGTTGAGAGTGCTGCTATAAACATTGGGGTACAATTGCCCCTATGCATCAGTACTCCTGTATCCCTTGGGTAAATTCCTAGCAGTGCTGCTGCTGGGTCATAGGGTAGGTCTATTTTTAATTTCTTGAGGAAACTCCACAAGTTTTCCAGAGTGGCTGCACCAGTTGCATTCCCACCAACAGTGCAAGAGGGTTCCCGTTTCTCCACATCCTCGCCAGCATCTGTAGTCTCTTGATTTGTTCATTTTGGCCCCTCTGACTGGTGTGAGGTGATATCTGAGTGTGGTTTTGATTTGCATAGAAATTATATTCTTAAGCAACATGTTAGAATGTTATGGTGAATGCTTCAGAAGTTTCTTTTTAGTATACTTTTATTAGAATACATTTTTGACTCTCATAACATCAGCAGAGAAATAATTCCAATGAGTCTAGCCACCAACAATATTTTGTCAAAATATCAATAAATTACACTTGTCAATTGTTTGCTCATAGTTAAACGCATTGGGTATGATTTGGCTGTAATTCTTTACCTTGTTTTTTAAATGTCATCTTGTCTTGAATTAGCATTGGCTTTCATTATACTTAACTCTAAAATTTCATATTAACTGTGTTCAGTTATATTTAGGTGGGAGTACCCATCAGATACTATGGATATCTTCACTTTGGCAAAACTACAGTGAAGGAGGATTAGGCTTCAGACACAGCACTCGGTGGTAAGAAAATCTAATTTTTCCTCTTCTTATGCAAAACACTTTAGTAGATATTTATTTTATTTTGATTCCTGTTCCTCTCTTTTTATTTGGAATATACATTTTCTGTAACTAATTGAGATCTGTGCATTTTTCCTACCTTGTGAGATGTTACCCAATCCATCTAATTTAGAATATCTGTTTAACATGATAAATTACAGTGTAGAGTTGAGGAATCTAAAGAGATGTGTACTAAGAGTCTGGAATTTTCAATTTGTAAGAAGGGTTCTTCTCTCTCATTTGTTATTCTCTTTATTCAGGAGGAACATGTTTAAGAATTGTAGGGGGAGTGGTGCCTGGGTGGCTCAGTCAGTTGAGCATCCGACTTCGGCTCAGGTCATGATCTCTTGGTTTGTGCGTTCGAGCCCCATGTCGGGGTCTGTGCTGACAGCTCGGAGCCTGGAGCCTGCTTCAGATCCTGTGGCTGCCTCTCTCCCTGTCCCTCCCCCATTCATTCTCTTTCTCTCTCTCTTTCTCTCTCGCTCTCTCTCAAAATAAACATTAAAAAAAAAAAAAGAATTGTGATAGCTAACAACATCCCATCCTTTAGGAATATATTGCCTAATGGAGATAGAATTTGTACCAAAGTTTTACAGAAGTTCAGCAACACAGTCTTGAATGGCTTATATAACCTACCACACCAGGTAGATACTTCTGAAGCCCAAGAGATGTTGGCTGATTGGGACAAGTGAGCCTATGTCGGAATTTTGGATGTTAAAACAGCAAATTAGGGTACAGCTAGAGTAATAAATTGTATTTGGCTACACACAACAAATACGTTCAAGGAAGCAAGACAAAGAAGAAAGGCGGGGGAAAAAAAAGGAAAAAGACAGTCCAAGTAGATAGAATTAGAAACCCTAATTAATGTGATTTCATTTCTTTCTCTCTGCACATGAACTTTGACTCTGAAACCTTAGAGAATGAAACTAAATTGGTTTAACACTATATATATATAGACTTATGATATATGTCCATATTGGGTGGAATTGAAAATTGATTGATGTTTGATCTTATGACACTCTAGTAGAGTAAATAGACTGGAAAGAATCATAAAAAATGTTAAAAAAAATTGGAACTAATTAGGTTGTTCAAAAAAGAAAACAACCAATGTCCCAGCAGATATTTTTCATAATACACAGACACTGCAAATTGCTTTGCTTATATTATTCATATGCATTCCACAATAAATTTCAGATATTATTTTCTGTCTAAATTTTTTTTGTTAATCTATCAAACAACGTCAGAAGCACAGTCATAGACAATCTCCCCAGAAGATCTCGATAATAAGAATCAGGCTCATAATTCTCAATTTTGATTCTTCAGAATCCTATTTGTTCAGAACAAAAGTAATTAATTTGAAACTACTCTCCTATATGAAGTGGAAAAAGCCAAAGAGGGTCATCTGTAATTCTTCATTATTCAATGACTATTTCTTTTTTTTTCAACGTTTTATTTATTTTTGGGACAGAGAGAGACAGAGCATGAACGGGGGAGGGGCAGAGAGAGAGGGAGACACAGAATCGGAAACAGGCTCCAGGCTCCGAGCCATCAACCCAGAGCCCGACGCGGGGCTCGAACTCACGGACCGCGAGATCGTGACCTGGCTGAAGTCGGACGCTTAACCGACTGCGCCACCCAGGCGCCCCTCAATGACTATTTCTTTAATCTTCTTTTAAAATGTAAGAGCTGTGGGAAGTGAGACAATACTTTTACTTTCTTCCATTTAATTTGAATAAAGCTAAAAACAATGGTATAATGTAATAAAGCTACATTATAAAAGTACCTACAGCTAGGTGATTCTGATGCAATAAAGAAGAAGATCAATATAAGAAAACGAAACTTCCTAGTGACACAATTATTTGAACTTTGAAAACTGCATTCCAAAAAAAAAAAAAAAAAAAAAAAAAAAACAGAGGCACACTGGCAGGAAGCACTAAATATTTAAAAAGTTATCAGTACACACAAATCTCTCTAATGCATTATGTTTCACCTGTTCTACTACTATTTGGTCTCTCTCATAAAATGAATGCAATAAAATTCTAAAATACAGAAAACCATGGGTGGGTTTGGGCTTCAATAATTTATTCATACTGTATTTTGAATTATATTAGGAAAAGTTTGTTTTTAACTGTAAATACTAAATACTAAATACTAACAAGATTCATAAGATGTTTAGAAAGCTTAAAGTAGCAAGATATTTAAAACATATGTATATTCAATAAATATTTAAAAATATTTGCCTCAGTATTCTTTATTTGTTTCCCTTCCCTTATATCCAGAAATATCTAACAATATAGTTTAAAGCTAATTGTTTTTCAAAAGGCAAAGAAAAAAAAAGACTGAATAAGAAGCAGTCCAATAAAGTTTCCCTCAAAGTAATAGGCAAGAAATAATGTAGAATAGTTGCAAAGTCAAAAGGAAAAGTGCTTTTTTCCCACAAGGAAATAAATATATATTATGAAGGTAAGTAATATAAAACCTACAAAGTAATACTATATATCAGTTTGAAGTATTAATTGGATTTCTCAACATATTAACTAAAGAAATCGACAGATTTTTCTATTAAAGTTTGGCAAAAGGTAATTAATAATATAGTTCCTGCTTAGAAATTTGTTTTAAGGTTTATTTATTTACTTTTGAGAGACACAGAGACAGCATGAGCTGGAGAGGGGTAGAGAGAGAGGGAGAGGGAGAGAATCCCAAGCAGGGTCCATGCTGTCAGCACAGAGTCCAATGCAGGGCTTGAACTCATGAAACCCTGAGATGATGACCTGAGCCAAAACCAATAGTCAGATGTTTAGCCTACTGAGCCACCCAGGCACCCCTGCTGCTTAGAAACTTGTAATAGAGACATGAAAAATCTCAAAAAAGGAACTGTGTAATGTATAGAATTGTTGAAAAATTATATTGTACACCTGAAACTAATATAATACTATATGTTAATTATATTTCAAACAAAAACAAAAAATAAAATAAAATTATAAAATAATTTAAAAATTAAAACACAAAACAAAACAGAGAACAATCTGGTGGTTGCTGGAGAGAAGACAATTAGGGGAATGGGTGAAGTAGGTGAAGGGGGCTAAGAGGTACAAATTTCCACGTATAAAATAAATAAGTCACAGGGATGAAAAGGATAGCATAAGGAATATAGTCAATAATATTGTAATAACCTTGTACAGTGACAGATGTCAGTAATAGTTATCATGTGAGCATTTTGTGATATATATATAATTGTCAAATCACTATGTTGTACACTTGAAACAAATATAATACTGTATATCAACTATCTTCAATTAAAAATATTTAAAACATAAAACAAACAAAAAAAGAAAGGAAGGAAACTAAGTGTTTAAAAACTTTAGCATTTGTCTCCACAAGGCATATATGCTTTCCACATTTTATGTATTCACTTTAGTGTTCTACTAATTACTACTTGTCTTTTACACAGAATGACAGAATATATTGTTAACGCTGAAACATAACATAATAGAATTTAGGAAGGTATTGATTTTTGAAGATAAAAATTACAAATGTAAGGTATTAAGAAAAAAAATACTAACATTGAGTATTACAGTCTATTAGAATAATTTGAATTTTTTTATATTTGAAACTCAAATATATATTACATATATATTTTTGAAACTCAAAAAGCTGGTGTTTTAAGTAATTTGAATATTTTTGAAGCTCAAACATCTAAGAAATAATAAAGCACTGTGAATAATAAAAACAACAACAATAATAATAATGCTCTAAGAAATAATTAACTTTTCCTTAGAATGAATTGCCCACTACTTGTGTATTAATTATGAAACAAGATTTTGAAATAATAATTTAGGGAAAAGCAATCTGATGAAGTTAAAAATCCAACTTCGTTTTAATCAGTGTTTCATGGTCGAGAGCAATCAGCATGGACTTTCCTCATTTGGAAAGGACTCACCTGGTTGGCAATCTGCCGAGCAAGGACATCCATCCTTGATCCTGATTCTGATATCATTTTAGCGGCATAAATCACATCAGTTGTATGTTTTAGTGGTCCTTTGCCCCTTAAAGCAAAATAATACACATTAGTTTCAGTGGCTCATGCTAAGATACATATACAAATGCGCACACACACACACACACACACACACACACACACGGGATTTGCACCCCAGAATACTGGCCATTTGCTTTACAAACTTCAGTTTTGGAAAGGCACAAATTAGACATCAGAATTAAATGAAAAATGAAAAACAAAAGAAGTCCCATTATGTTGAGATTCAGGAAATACTGCCAAGAAGCTGGACTCCATTTGATCTTCATTCCCAAGTGTTTTTTAGAGTAAACCTCAGTCTTGAGATTGAAACTTGCTTATGCACTATTGTGCTTTCGTCAGCAAGTCTACTTTTTAATCTTCCTCTTTATAATCTTTTTTTAATAGTCTTTCAGTTAATTGCATTGCATTTTCACCACATTATGTCTTCTCCACAATTAATTAATTGTAATATAATAGTAATTGAGTATGAATCTGGAGTCCCAGTATCTTGGACTATTTCCAAAAGAGACCACTTCTCACTGTTTGTATAAGTCAAGTAAGATAAACAGCCACTCTGTGCCCCTGGTTCCTTGGTGGTAATAGGAAATGCATACAACATGGAGCCTTTCTAAGGATTACATGAGCTAATGTCTAAAAAGTGATCAGAACATGGCTTTAAGGAAAATAAGCATTCAACAATGCAAATTGTGGTTGTTACTTTAATTTCGGTTCCTAACGCTGTGGAATAAAAGTTGGGTTCATTTATGGTTTTACAAGGTAGGAGAAGAAAGAAGTGTACTTCCTATACTTTTTGACTGCGATAACATAAGGAGATACTTTTCTATCTTCTCTTTCCTCAAAAAACAGTGACTACATACATGAATGTAACTGTTCCATACACCCCAAACTGCCTCTAAAATTCACGATAAGCAAGTTTTCCTGAAAGCATGGAACCGCATGCTTAACACAATGAAAACCTGGCCTCAGCATATGGCTATGGCCATACTTCTCCTCTTTGAATATGCTGACCTAGGTTGTTTTGTAATTTTTTTTAAATTGACATTAATTATTACAAAATTGGAGTTGCTCTTATCAAATTTACTTAATGCATTAGCCAGAACTAGATGTTATGTACATGGTTATCTTCAAGAAAGGCAATGTGTTTCATTATTTCTGTGCATCTCTAGAAAAAGTTAAATAAAGCTGTCTAAGCTTGCAAGGCAAGGTATCAATTTTCAAGGTCTTAAAATGGACAAAAGTTGCTTCTAAGGAGAGCAGCTAACACTCTTGCAGCTTAAACAATGGTCAAAGAGTTACATCTAAGGAATGCATCTAATGTACTCTTCCCCGTCAAAGTAATATATTTCCCCATATAAAAACCTGGGACTGATGAAAGGCAAATTGCCTTTAGCTTTAAATTCATGTGTTATTATGAGACCACTATCTTAAACACATGTAGAATTTAAAAGTAATACATTATGCAGACCACAATTATTCTCTTCTTCATGTTCCTAATTAAATGTATTGCCTGGCAAACTTCCTACTGAGGGCCCAACAAAATACGCATTTTACAAATGATTCCACGTCATGCCAAGCTTCCAGAGGAAGCTGCAATTACCGAAACTATGATAAATTTTTTAACATTCCAGCCTGAAATGTGCTACGTAATGAAGGCTTTTTAAATTGGGAAATACATTCAAAGGTTGTTTGCTGCCTTCATTTTCATAATGGGTTCTCAGGATCTCCTGTCAGCAAATTGTGTCTTAAATCATTGAGTTTGGATCCTACGGAGAAGGATACCCAGAGGAGGATGGGATAAACTTTAGAAATATTTTAAAGATACTGGAGGCCAGAAATCTTTGATAAATATTGGTTGCAATAATAATTTTTTTTCCCAAAAGTAGAGCAGATCAAGCCCCAGAGAAGGGAGTCTGCCAACTAATTGTTAAACTATATGTTTAGAAGGTATAATGGGAAATGTTGCAATAATCCAGCAATGTTGATGCCATGGAAAAATATTTTAGATAAGCGAAAGGGATACCTTTGAAACTTGATTTATTGGTACAACATAAACCTCTCAGCCATTTTTGACGTTGCCCCAACCTTGACTCCCATTCCTTCCCCATCCTCACCCTGTTTCTGTCATCCACCTCTCCCTTCTTTCTCTTTGGATTAGCACAAGAAATAAGATGATACAGCTGATGGGTAATAGTTCAATTAAGTAGGGATCTGGTTTAAGAAGAGAAAATATCAGTTTTATAGACTTATTTTGTCTTTTCAGGGACAGAAAATATCTATGAAATGATTTGGTATTTTCTGCTACTGATTAAAAAGAAAACAAAAATACTTCATTATATAGTTTACACTTTGTAGCCCCTACATTTTTGATAACATAATATTACTCCTCTTTTCAAGGTCGAAAACGATCCCTTTAATCCTGTTCACCTTTGATATTCATAAAGAATAAATCTCGGGGTGCCTGGGTGGCTCAGTCAGTTGAGTGTCCGACTTCAGCTCAGGTCATGATCTAACAGTTCGTGAGTTCGAGCCCTGCGTTGGGCTCTGTGCTGACAGTTCAGAGCCTGGAGCCTACTTCAGATTCTGTGTCTCCCTCTCTCTGCCCCTTCCCCACTCATACGCTCTCAAAAATGAATAAACATTAACAAAAATAATTAAAAAAAAGAGTAAGTCTCGAGATGTTGTGGTTCATTTAATAGGTGAAAACAATGATAGTATATACTTTGTTCCATAATAGTAGCTAATACATTTAACATTATCTATGTGCTAGGTGTTATTCCATAAACAAAAAGATCTGATCATTATGAGTTTAGAATTATTATTATCCTTATCTTGCAGATGAGGAAACTGAAGGAGAGAGATGTTAAATATATATTTTATTAAGTTACACAGATAGTAAGTATTGGAGGTGGGATTTGACCTCAGGCAAACTGGCCCACAGAATCTGCTTTTATTTATTTATTTTTTTTTAATTTTTTTTCAACGTTTATTTATTTTTGGGACAGAGAGAGACAGAGCATGAACGGGGGAGGGGCAGAGAGAGAGGGAGACACAGAATCGGAAACAGGCTCCAGGCTCTGAGCCATCAGCCCAGAGCCTGACGCGGGGCTCGAACTCCCGGACCGCGAGATCGTGACCTGGCTGAAGTCGGACGCTTAACCGACTGCGCCACCCAGGCGCCCCTAGAATCTGCTTTTAAAGACTATCCTCTACTTCTTTCAATAAAACACACTAGGATAAAATTAAAATATTAATTTTAATATGCTAACTAGACTTATTGTGGTGATAATTTCACCATACAAATATTGAATCATTTTTAACACCTGAAACTAATACAATGTTATATGTCAATTATACCTCAATTAAAAAGTAATAAAATAAATATAGGGAAAAATATTAAAAAGATCTCCTTAGCCATTGATGGCAGTTAGCATGAATGCAATAGAAAGCAAAGCCACGGATTAGATTTAGGTGCTGGGTGGTTGAGAGGGCCACCAAGAGTGACTGGCTTATGAACAATGGCTTCAAGGAAGATAACCTGAATCTGTCTTCTAGTCCCAACAAAATAAAGATGTCTAACATTACATGGACTTCTAAAGTCATGACAATGGTTAAAATGGTTTAGTAGACTAAAGTCCTGGGATTTCTTTCTTGAGATACTACTACTTTTTTTCTGTTAGATCAGTCCTCCCCTCTCCCCCTTTCCTTGGATTCTTTTATTTTTAATTTTTTTAAGTTTATTTATTTTTGAGAGAGACAGAGGCATTGTGAACAGGTTGGGGACAGAGAGAGAGGGAGAGAATCCCAAGCAGGCTCTATGCTTCAGTGCAGAACTGGATGCGGGGCTCGAACTCATGAACCATGAGATCATGACCTGAGCTGAAACCTAGAGCTGGAAGCTTCACCCAGTGGGCCACCCGGGTGCCCCCAACCCCCTTTCCTTGAATTCTTAACACCAAATTCAAATTCAGCCATTACATAAGCCATGCTAGAGGGAGATCACACTTTGATGTCTATTTATAATACAAGAAATAGAACTTTTATCTGACAATCTTAGCTTTAGACATAGTTATTTCATTTAATTCTAACACTCAAACTTGGCGCTGCAATAGAGTGAAATGAATACACTTGGTAAATACATTTTGTCTGCTTCCCAGTACTGCTACTTATTAGCTATATAGCCTTGGGTAAGTAACAGTTGGTCTGAGCTTATTTTCTCTTCCTTAAAAGGATTGTGATACTTGCCACATGGTAAGGATTAATAAAATCATATATTTTCCACAATATTTGGCACATATTAGATGCTCAGCAAATGTTAACTTTTTCTTTTCCTCATCCCTTTGTGAATAATGGTATGTTTAAAAAATTTTCTTTTGCCTTTTTTATTTAAAAATTACAGTACTTGCCAAACAATATGAACAGACTTGATTCAATTGAGTTCTTTCTTATACCTGATGACAACATGGCTTTGTATAACCTTGGTCATAATATCCTCTCATAAGAATACAAAATATACACACACATAAACTCTGTGTTCATAGTCATTATTGCTGTTCAAGGTTGTTCTTTAACTCCTTATAAAGTGACATCTTTTTGGTAGTAAAAACTTCCCAAGATAAGTGATTTAGCTCTACGAGAGTACCATCAAAATTCTTTTACTTGTAATTCTGAAATTAGATACAAAAGAAAAAAAAAAGTAATTATCATGAAAGCAACCAAAAATGATGAGATAAAGAGAGGTACCAGACTCAAGCAAGGACACACTCTTCTCCTACTATTCAATCATGAAATTTTAATTAGGCACCTCTCTCCCTCTGCATGTTACTTTTTCTTATAAAGTGTTATTCTCAAGTTTTGAGGACTCTAGAAAAGTCCTTAGAAAATCAGCAAGTGAATAATTCACTAACAATCATCCTGAGTAATTAATACACTAAGGAACCTTTGGGATTCAAGTTGGAAAAATGTGTTGCCCCATGAAAGAAGGGAAATATTGTCTGAGAATTGTATACA